CAGTAAGTATCCACCGAATGAATAAATCAAAAAAAGGAAAAATGAAGCTGTCACACTAAATGTGAGAGCCTATTTCTGAGCTTTCTGCTAACTTTAATTTCCTTGGTCATTGATCACCACTCACCACCAAGTAACACAAGAATAAGGGGTTTAAGAACAGTGTCTCCTGTTTCCAATTGGATCTGCCCATTGATGTAATGTTGTCTACGAACTGGGAAAGGTGACATTGATCAGAGCTGAAGGAAGCCTGAGAGCCCTGGTCTGGCTTAGCTCTTTCCCCTGTGGGCCAGAGGGGCTGGAGACCACAGCCGTGGGCGGCAGGCTTGGGAGAGGCTGGGCCCTGGGAGTGTATTGGGTGAAGTTGGTCTGGGGTTGGAAGCTGCAGCAGCCCCTTCCCGGAGCTTAGGAGATGCAAATAATGTGAACAATTGGGCCCCTGTCCCCAGGTCATTTGTAGCAGATCCTGGGCTCCAAGGAGGCATGGCTCTTCTACCACGGCCATGGTGAGACTTGGTCCTAGGGCAGCCCCAGGCACACAAACCTTCTACCCTTGTGAGCCCAGGACTCTGGGCAGGCAGAGGCATCCCAGCTGCACTGCCCACCCCCTCTGCTCCCCTCCCTGACCAAGCTCAGTAGGAGCATGTCCCGGTGAGTCCTTGGGCTTCTCTCTCTCCTCTGCCCTCCTCTCTGTCTCCACATCCCCCTGCCCCTCCTTTGCTGGGCACAGCCATCCTGGGAGCTGTGCTGGCTCTGCCTAGCACCATCCCCACCTGCAAGAACCATTCATGTGCCTACACCCCTGTCAGCACCAGGGTTCTCCCACTCCTGGCTTCTCTGAGCATCCACGGGCACCAGCTCTGTCCCCAGCCGCCTCCTCCTGCCTTGGTCCCAGGGCCTCTGTATCACACACTCCTGGGGGCATCCACACTGTCATGAATGTGATTGCCCCAGAGTGCAGGATCTGGCTGACATGCTCTCAAGGGCACCTTGGGCGGAGTTGACTAGATTCTGCTTGCAGGTTAGGGCCACCCCTTCCACCCCCCAAACATGTGAGTAAGTGACACAGGGGGCCACAGGGGCCCTGCAGACCAGGGTCCCCTGCAGGTTGGGTCTCCCTTGAGTGGTTCTGGACACTTCCTGCTCAGCATGGCCCAGCACTGCTGAATCACTGCAGCCTACCTCTGCCACCTGTCTTGGTCAGAATTAGGGGTATAGAGGCAGGGAACAGACAGCTAGCTGAGAGTCCCCTTTGTTTCCAAAGTGCCTACCTCACTGGCCTGCTGTGGTGTTGGAAATGCCCATCATGAATGGTACCTTTGAGTTGTAGCACTGAAGCCCACTGTCACTTGCAGATGGATTATTACACTGGCAAGAGAGTAAGGCATTGTGCTACAGGGGGGTGGGCTGGGAGGAGGCAAGGCCAGTCTGACTGTCCAGACTCCCCAGCTTGGAGAGATGTCCTCAGCCCATCTCCGCCTGCTCCAGAGACCTGGAGACAAGGGGTA